ATCAATCCAGCCAAGAAAGTTCCCCAGTCATTGTTCACTGAGGTTTTCTGGATATGACAGTAGACCCCAATATTGTCCCAGTCATTTCTTCCTCACCTAAATCCCATCTCCACCTTAAGGAAAAATGGCAGTGCAGTTTTCTGTTTTAGAAACCATGTGCTAGGAATACTTGCATTTAGGGTTGAAGTTGTTCTCAGTGGATTAGATCCTACCTATTTCCCTTTCTTTCCCCCCAAACCATCAAGGTATTTTATACAGGACTTAGATCTATTGCCAGAAAAGCAGAGTGAATTAACTCCCTCTCCAGTTTTTGTCTAGTTTGTAACAGCATTTACTTGACTTTAATGCAATGTTTCAGGAATACAGAAGATTGTCATAATAAAATTTAAAGACACCTGGATGTCCACCACTGACATTAAAGCCATATTACTTAACATTTTGCTCTGCTCTAGGCTTTCTTTCTTTCAAGAAAAAAAGATTTTCGTGGAACAATAAAAAAGGAAGAAAATAAGGAGGGAAAGTAGGGAGGTAGGGAGGGAGGAAAAGAAGTGAGGGAGGAAAGGAGAGAGAGGAAGTGAGAGAGATAGAAGGAAAGATGAAAGACAGGAAGAAAAAGAGGAAAGGAAGGAGGAAGGAAGAATGCAAGGGAAATTTGTCAAATTTCCTTTGACTGGATAGATATATAGGTGATACAGTCAAATGTGATTGGTAGGCTCTAGAGATGGATCTATAGATGTTCACTGTAAATTCATTATGTCTACTGGAACATTTTTCATTATAAAGTGTTAAGGGGGAAATACATTTGACAAATACAGTTTAAAGCCAACCATCCTTCTACTTTATTGCCTCCTTGGCTACTCTGAAGGTGATATGTAACATTAATTGATATTTCCATCTTCCCTCCACAATTATATGGAACTATAAATGATACATAACAACTGTTAGGTGCTTTTCAAGATGTAACTTCTGTAACTTGCTTTTTGCCACTCTATCAAATTTTTTAGCTTTATCCTAGTAATCCATGTAGATAAATGAACTCTTTCAATGGCCATCTCTCCATCACACATAGATGAAGAAGTGTGTTGACTGTCAGACCAGGACCAGCTGGATCTTGGTCATGTTCAATCTCCAACCCTCCTTAGACAGTTTTCCTGAACTGTCTGTGCTTGCTGAACTGTCCATCAACTGGGACTAGTGAGCCCTTCACAAGTGCCTCCAAAACAATGAGATAAAGGAAATATTCCAGGGGATGAAGCAAAGAAATGGAGTCTCTTTCCAGAAAGAAGCAAAGGAGAAGGGAAATGAAAGAAGCCTTAATGATAGCAGCTTAACACATGCAGTCAGTCGAAAAGTAACAAAAATTAACGCTTTGAAATCACAAATTATTTCTATATTATAACATACATTTTTGTTACTTCATGTCAAAGGACTAGCCTTCCCCAAGACTATTCATAGTATGAATATTAGATTGTTGTTGTTATTGAAGGAGCCATATACTGTAAAATTTGTTTTAAAGGATAAAAAATTGTTTTTGGAGAAGGGTATAATTCTTGAGACTTCCTGATTTGGTTGCAAATTATGTACATGAAGATACAGTTTTCTTACATGACCTAACTCCAACAAAGCTATGACACGTCCTAGAAACATTTAATTTAAATATTTTCAATGTGAAAATGATGTGATCAGTCGTAATATGTTACTTCTATTGGATTGTATGGTTCAGAAGTATATTTCAGTAAGGTACACAATAAACATGTTAGACTTAATGTTACTTTTATTGTTTTTAGAATATTAAAGCACTGTTCCCAAAAATGTCTTCTGAGCTCCATATTAGACATTTTGAAAACTATTACAATAAGATATATAGTGTATATGTGTGTATATACATATTCATCATACATTGCATACATATTATGTATAATTTTATACATGCAATGTATTATATAATATGCTTATATCAATAATATACTATTATACTAACTGAAATCCTACAATGCAATGTAAATGAAATCAAAATTTTATAATTATAATTAATAATAAAAGACATGATATGATAGCATAGAGAATATTTCAATTTAAATTACTATAACATCATCCACTAGTATATAGCATTTTAGGCTATCCAATATTATCCACATTGCATAGGCTTATACATAGAGATAATTATTTCAGGCAATTCCTACTTGCTAAATTTTGTAGTTGGAGATGAGGTTGGTTCTAGAATAACTTATAAAATGAATTATGCCTGTTACAAATTGAGTCAGAAGTCAGTTTAAGCATTCCAATTTTCAGTCTGTGTTTTGTCATGAGAGTATAAAGCCTCTTCACTGCTAAATTCAGCAACTGCATTTTATTTCCTGTTTAATTCTGGAAACTCAAAATTATATAGGGTTCAGCTTTTATGTAGATATCAATGTATGTAAAACCTCTGTAATATTTTTCTCTTGTAGAAATATGCTTGCTATATCTAGTACTAAGAAAACTTTCTATTTTCTGATTTCTAACTGAGAAAAGTTTCTCTGAGAATTTTTTTTTGCTAGTCTTGGGGCTTGAACTCAGGGCCTGGGCACTGTCCCTGAGCTTCTTTTGCTCAAGGATAGCACTCTACCACTTGAGCCACAGTGCCACTGCTGGCTTTTTCTGTGTATGTGGTATTGAGGAATTGAACCCAGGGCTTCATGCATGCTAGGCAAGCACTCTATCACCAAGCTACATTCCAGCCCCTTCTCTGAGAATTTTAATGATTGCCTTTTTTGTAGTAACCTCAATGACAAGTTGAAGTTAAGATGGTAATGGCATACTATCTCTGTGAATCCTAGAGCAAATATCTCAGAATTGTGTAACATACCAAGTATCAGATAAAGGGAAGTGCAGCTGGCTGGGCTTAAGAGGGAATCTCCATTTCCTAGCACATTCATAGGAAACAAACTGTTGAGGGAAAACATTCAAGTAGACAATTGGAGTACATTATATGGTAAGCATATCCACATTTTTGTTAAATAACACTTAATGGCTAGTATTCTATTATATAGACTTTCCAATTAGCTATAATTGTATATTTTATTAAAGCTTCTCTTATTACCAATAAAAAGGTTCTGGATAGGTTCTGGATATGTGTGTGTGTGTGTGTGTGTGTGTGTGTGTGTGTGTGTGTGTGTGTCTTCTATACATATTGATGAGAGGGATTGCTGGGTTAACAAAACAAAAAATTGATACTTCAACTAAAATTTTCAAGCACTCTACCAAAAAGGATAAAAATGATGTTCATTTACTCTAATTTTCAAACTTCAATTGCTAAACTCACTTAACAGCTTCTACATTTATTAAACATTTGTATTTCTTATGTTAGAACTTACTAGTATGTCTTTGGTTCATGTTTCTTGAATCTTAAACAGAACTAACTCAAAGAAAACCTCTTCTGTAGTAAAGCTAATAGTTTGTAACATGTGTTATAAATAACTGTGTCTCATTTATATTTTAGTATTCCTTCTAGTCATAAATATGTATATTAAATTCACTAATTAATGCAATCAACTGTTGTTTTACTCTTTACATACTTGTCTCTAAGCAAGAATTGTATTTTAATTATCTCAAAAAAAAGCTTGCTCCAGATTTTGAAGGTGATAGTGTTCACACATTACACAAGTAAATTTCAAATCAAAGACAAAAGAAGAAGTGGCTTCAAGATTATTTTATGGAGTGTCACTTTACTAGTTGGGCTGGGAAGGTGGCTCAGTGGTAGAGTGCTTGCCTTGCATGCATGAGGCCCTGGGTTCGATTCCTCAGTACTACATAAATGGAAAAAGCTGGAAGTGGCGCTGTGGCTCCAGTGGTAGAGTGCTAGCCTTGAGCTGAAGAGCTGAGGGACAGCACCCAGGCCCAGAGTTCAGGCCCCACGACCCGCAAACAAAAAAAAAAAAAAAAAAAAGAGAGAAATAAAATTTATTTGCAGTGAACACATCACTATAACAGATTTTCATGAAGTGCTTCATCAAGGACAGAACACAAACAAAATCACAAAAAGAACACCAAAAAACCTACAATACTTTTTACTTTTAATTTAATTTATTAATTGTTTATTAACATATTTTGTGCCAGCTCTGGGCATTGAACTCAGAGCTTCATGCTCTCATTTGGCATTTTTTACTCAAGGCTGGCACTCTACCACTTGAGCCAAGAAACATTTCTAGTTTTTTTTATGTTTAATTAGAGATAAGAGTTTCTTGGATTTGTCTAGCCAGACTGGCTTTGAACTTCAGCCTTCTGAGTAGCTAGGATTAAAAGCATGAGACACCAGCACCCAGTAGAACTAGAAGTGGGTTTTGGGGTTTTTTTTAATGTTTTGCTACATGGAATATTCTTATAAATATGCAAATGCAATGGCAGATTCTGAATATTGTAATAAACTAAGTAGCTCCTAACTGCTGTTGACATTCACTATTCTTTTTCACTAAAACTGCTGTCACCAGGTGTCATTCCTATTTTACAGTCAAAGCTGCCAAGAGTCAGAGAGTTTAAGGAACTTGCCCAGAGCCACACAGCAGACACAAAAGTCCCAAAGCAGTTCTGCCACAGAGGCCCTGAAGCAATGGCACTGGCAGCCATTGGGAGCTTCTTTTGTAACAAGACTTTACCTAAATGTGACAAAGACAATGGGATACCTAGAACTGTGTTGACATAGCCCCAGCAGGTGACATATGGGGGGAAAAAATCACATGGCTTCAGAAGGAACAGAATGACCGAAATCGCACAGTGAAGTTGTTTTTCTTTTTTTTTTTTCTTGGTAACCTTGACTACCAATACTATAGTTTCAAGAAAATGTCTGAAGGCATCATCCATACTCTGGTCTCCATCTGTCTGTTTGCAGTGCCATAGCCCAGCAACAACCAAGTGTCTGATGAGCTGGATAGGTCTGCCTGCAGTCTGAGAGCTGGTCCTAAAAAGGAAAGATCTCATAGAATACAGAGAAGCTTTGCAGATGATAGAATTGCTCTACTCACCGGTCCTGGAGAGCCGGAATCTTGGAAGGACACTGCAGGTATTGCTTAAAGCGGAGCTCAAAGGCTTGTCCGATGGAGCCGATGACATCTTGAGCCAGCCCATCACAGCATTCCAGAATATGGCAAGCTGGGAGAGACAGAGACAGATGTGGGAACTGGTAGCCTGTCAATCAAGAGCTCCTTGCAGAAAACAGGGGGAGAAAGAGGCAGAGGCTTCTTTTTTACTTTGTACATGGGTCTTTCTCCCTGAGGCCCCTCCAGTGATGACGGAAGATAAGCACTTCTTAGAGCTATTGTTGGTGAAAATTATAGGTTCTTGTGTGTGTGTGTGTGTGTGTGTGTGTGTGTGTGTGAATCTGTGTCTCAAGTCAGAGAATCAGTGGCTTATGTCTGTAATCCTAGCTGCGCAAGAGGCTGAGATCTAGTCAGGTGTGGTGGTTCATGCCTGTAATCCTAGCTACTTAGGAAGCTGAGAGCTGAGGATTGCATAGTCAGACCAGGCAGAAAAGTCCATCAGACTCTTATTTCCAATAACCTACAAAAAGAGGAGGAAGAGAAGGAAGAGGAAGAAGAGGAGGAGGAGGACGAGGAAAGATTTTTATTTTTTGCTAGTCCTGAGGCTTGAACTCAGGGCTTAGGCACTATCTCTGAGCTTCTTTTGCTCAAGGCTAGCACCTTACCACTTGAGCCACAGCAACACTTCTGGTTTTCATGCTTATGTGTTGCTGAGGAATTGAACTCAGGGCCTCATGCATACAAAGCAAGCACTCTACCACTGAGCTACTTTCCCAGGAGGGAAGAATTTTAAATATTCTTACTGAAGGAAATGGTGAATGATAGAAATGTTAATTATCCTGATTTGATCATTACATATTAGAGAAATTTGTCAAAATACCACAATACACACTGTAAATATATCTGATAGGGGATTAGTAAACAAGCACAGAAGTAGAGTTAGGTAGGAATAAATTCTAGGGTTCTATTGCACAGTAGGGTGACTTTATTATATGTCAACTAAAAATTACATACAATTTTTAAATTATATTGTTTTTGTGCCCATACTAGGGCTTAAACTCAAGGCTGTACCACTTGAGCCACACCTCCACTGTAGGCTTTTTATTAGTTAACAGAATTTCCTGCCTGGGCCTCCCCAGTGTGGGCAACAGAGACATGACAGACAACATCGATGGCTGCAATTTCCTTGTCACTCTTCTCTGCAAAGGCTATGCACCGTCCCACACTGTTGAACCTGAGCTGGCTCTGGAAGCAGTGCCAACCAACTCAGAAGAAAAGACATTGCCTTCCAGAGCACCGCTCGCCCCCATGTTTGGTCTCACGGAGCCCAGAGCTTCCCTTTTGAAAGTTCTGCTGTCCAGATGGATGGAGGGTAGGCCCTTCAGGACTGGGCTCAGTTTCCTGATAGAAGATGCCCTCCCCCTAAAAAAAAAGAACTCTCTTGTCCATTGTCCACTATGTGAAAAACAGAACAAGAAGGGGCCATCGACAAGCCAGGAAGAGCCTTCTCTGGGCCCCAGGTCTGCCTGACCTCGAGGTTCAGTTTCTAGCCTCCAGAGCTGTGAGAAATAAGCACCTGCATTTGAATCCCCAGTCCACAGTGCTGTGTTATAGAAAGCAATCTGAGCTTTGCCAGGCCTGTATGTACAATACTGACTGGGGTATGCTTACACTTGTCTTCCACTACTCCATGCTTAGTGGCCTAATGACAACTATTTTATTATATTTCCTGATTTAAAATGGGTCAGGAATTTAGGCAGGGCTCAGCTCATGTGTCCCTGTGGCATCAGTGGGGGTTGTCCAGTGGTCTTTGGCTGGCACATGGACTGGTCAAATGGGTCCAAGTTGGCTCTACCTCTACCTGCCACCTAGTAGTTGGCAGAAAAGATCAGTAGGCTACATCCATCAGCAGATCCTTCTCTGCTCCCGAGTCCCAGGCCTACCCTAGATGGCCACTCCCTGAACAGCAGAACTTTCCACTGAATTCTCTTCTCCACTCAAAACTTTATATTATTATTATTATTGTTATTGTTATTATTATCTTTGAATCATTGGACAAAGGAGTTTCAATTCAACATGTCAGTTTATGAGTATAACATCTTAATCAATGTCACCCTTTTCATCATTTTCTCCATGTCTTCCAACTCCAGCCATACTCTCAGTTTTCCTAGTTCTGTTTCCATATATATACCTTAAATATTATGACTGTATTTTTCCACCCTTCTCTTCATTCATCTCATTTATCTCTACGCCCTCCCCTTGACCTTGTCTCCTGCCCTCATACCTCAAGTTCCAGTTTCCTGATGGTCATTTTGTTACACTGTAGGTTAATTGTAATTCTCCCCTGCATATACCAGTACTTCAAAGCTTTCTAATTGCCCCACCTCTGTTGGGAAGTGACAGTTGCAGAACAGGAAGTTACCATATTAGAACATGCATTATCTCAGCTATAGGAGCTCCCTTTCTGTCCCCCAACCCAACCCAAATTGTGGCATATGACAATCTTGAGCTTGCCTGGGAAGGACAAACAGTGTGATCTTGTGATCTTCAACCTGAAGCATCACTGAGAGACTTGAGAGACTTCCCCTCACTGCTCCTTAACCCAGGCTCAGCAAAAACCCAGAGGGAAAACGGTCCTCACATTTACTTAAATAGGAATGCAAACTTTCCAGTCAGGTTGAGGAGAAATCACAATGGTCCACTGGCATATTTACCTATCTCCCTTGCTCTGAAACAGTCTCTTAAGAGTCACACTGCACCATGTTGAAGAAAGACTTAAGAATAAAGGAAGGATTTACAGAAGTCTTTCCCCATTGGGAGGTGAGTTCTACCTTGCAGGTTAATTGATTGGTTTGTATGAAAATATGTCCAAGATATGAGGGGGTGTGACAAAACAGAATGTAAAGTCTCATTAATCGAAATATTAAAAGAAGGAGAACATATGTGTTGATATAATTTGTGTGTGTGTGTGTGTGTGTGTGTGTGTGTGTGTGTGTGTGCGTGTGCCAGTACTGGGGCCTGAACTCAAGGCTTGAGCATTGTCCTTTTTGTACTCGATTCCGGTGCTCTACCATTTGAGCCATAACCCTACTTTTGGCTTTTTGGTGGTTAACTAGTGAATGAGTCTCACAGATTTTTCTGCCAGATTGGCTTTGAACTGAGATCTTCAAATCTTAGCTTCCAGAGTAGCTAGGACTACAGGCATGAGCCACCAGTGCAAAGCTCCTTTTTTTTTTTGAAATAACTTAGAAAAATATGGAACACTTCACAAACTTGTGTGTCATCCTTGTGCAGGGGCCATGCTAATCTTTTCTGTATTGTTCCACTTTTAGTCTATGTGCTGCTGAAGTGAGCACTCCTTTTTTTAAATTTTGCAATTCAACTGGGAAGTGAGCAGCCCCTGGGATGGTGGCTGGAAGGAATGGAAGGGTTGGGAACAGAAGGAAGTGATGCATTGAATTGTTATGAATTTTATTGGCGCTTTTCATTAATGAACTTCCATTGTTGAGATAGTATGCCAGGGTAACCCTCCTTAGTCTTAGTCAAACCACCAGCTCTCCTGTTCCTTCCAATGGGCTTTTACAAATGCCCCTCTCCCATCAAACCCTGGAGGCTTAAAGGGGTATCAGGTGGCCTCAGGAGCAGGAGACAGGACAGTAAGCACAAAAGAAGAGCAGAAGCCAGACAGGAGGATAGGCAAGTGTGGAATCTTTCAGATACAATGTCACAGGTACAATATCACAGCACCCATGAAGGCTGCTCTATAAGTCAGATGTAAAACCATAGCCATCTGGATACAGGTGTGTGTGTGTGTGTGTGTGTGTGTGTGTGTGTGTGTGTGCGCGCGCGCGCGCGTAAATCTGTGTCTCAAATCTAACTGAACCAGGTGATGTGCTGCCCTTGCAAACCTCCATTACCCTTGGTAATATCATGTGAGACAGGCTCATTTGGTGACAGAAGCTGAGATAATGAGGAACACCTGCTACTCAGGGCTAATGAAACCTAGCTGTACTTGAATGAATGATTATGAGGACCAAATCTGCTTACCTCTGCGATTCACAGGGTCCTTGGCTACATAGGCAACATAGTCTGTTGTGTCCTGTTAAGAAAAAGATGATAGATGATCACTCATCACACGGAGAGGTAACACCACAGGAATACAGTGTCTATACTACATGCGTATCCATCATACCACTAAAGAATCAGGGCTATGACCAGGCACCAGTGCTCACGCCTGTAATCCTAGCTACTCAGGAGATTGATTTCTGAGGATTATGGTTCAAAGCCAGCACAGGCAGGAAAGTCTGTGAGACTCTTATCTCTAATAAACCAGCAAAAAGCTGGAAGTAGAGCTGCAGCTCAAGTGGTAGAGTCAGCATGCGCACATGCGCGCGCACTCACAACACACACACACACACAAATCATCTCAGTGTTAGAGCACTTGCCTAGCAGGCAAGAGGCCCTGAGTTTGATCCCTAGGCCTACCAAGAAAACATAATCAAATGCTGCCTATAAAACAGTCCAACCAAGGCATCTTATGAAAAGGCAAGCGGGTATTACATGGAGATCTTATAATGCAGATCCTGGGGACCTAAGGGTCTGAATTGTGCAGATGCTGCAAAGAGGACAAGGTACCTAGTCTCTCATGGTGGACCTCCTGGGAAGCTCAGTCCTATCACCCAGATCATCTGATTTAACTGGCTTGAATGTGAGACCTGCCTATCAGAAACTTTAAAAAACTCCCAATTTTACTAGCGTAAACCACAGATGGATGGCACTGCTGCCAGCAGTGCCTCTATACAAGGGGCCCTCAAATTTGAGTTACTGTCAGGGTTTCTTGTAGGGCTTCTTAAACAGAGAGCTGTACCACGCCTCAGAGTTCCCAATCTGGTGGATCTCTGGCAGAACTCACAAGCTGGATTTCTGACAAGTTCACAGCTACCACTGGGGCGGGGACCACAATCAGAGAAAATTCTCTATTCAGGAAGAAAAGCAGAGTGGTTGTGTGAAGATTAGGGTGAAAACACTCCTGTGTGGGTAAAATAGTTCTCCTCACCCAGCACCAATGACTCATGCCTATAATCTTAGCTACTCAGGAGGCTGAGTTCTGAGGATCATGATTAGAAGCCAGCCTGAGTAGGAAAAGCCAGAAGTGGAGCTGTGGCTCAAGTGGTAGAGCACTGGCCTTGAGAACAGAAGCTCAGGGACAGCACACAGGCCCTGGGTTCAAGCTCCCGGACTAACACACACACACACACACACACACACACACACACAAGATTCGTGTTTTCTTTCTTTTGAAAAAGAAAATATTTTCATCCATTAAGCTGTTTATAATGGTACTATTTCCGACAGCCAAGATAGGGAATCAGCCTAAGTGCCACAGGATAAAAGGATACAGATAATGTGGTCTGTATTCACAACAGAGACTTGTTTAGACATTAAATAAAAAAAAAGAAATCATGTCATTTGTAAGTAAATGGATGAAGCTAGAGATCAATTAAGCCAAATAAGACAAACTTGGAACAATAATATCATGTTATACATCAAACCCCTACAGAAAATGAAAAGGAGATCCACCCATTAGAAAGACTTTCAGTTCTCACTTTTTAATCCAAGGCCAAACTCTGCAAGGAAGAAAATGGCTGAAGCGGTCAAGATGGTAGAATAGACTCAACTGCTCTCTTCCGCATGGCATATCTAGGTTGCATGCTCTTGTACTCTGTCATATTTCTCTTCTAATAAACTTTTCTTGGAGTCAGACATGCTACCATTGCACCACCAGGTCCTTAAACTTTTCTTTTATCTTTAAAAGAAGCCACTTCACATATGTGGAGAGTAAAAAAATTAAATTAAATTAAAAAAGAATAGGAGGAAGACTCTTAGAGAAAAGGGACTAGGGGAAGAAGGGAGAGGAATAAGAGAGGGTATTTGAACAGAATAGATATAATCTAAATATATGACATGTAATATGTCAAATCAAAAGCATGCATGCATGTTACAATGGAATCTATCATTTTATACAATTAATATATGTTAATATAAGATTTCAAAGACATATTTATAAGCACTGCATAGAGAAGGTTTGTTCTTTCAGGTGGAATATGAATTTCCTCACCTTACTGAAACCAATGCATAGAAGAAAGCAAGATCACAAAGGTATGCCAAGGCAGCCCTGTATCTGCTAGTTTCTCAACAAGTAATCAAGGAGCTAATCAGACTCTGAATTCTTGAAAAGAGAGAAAACTACAGCACTAAAAAAAAAAAAAAAAACAACTCTGAGTGTAGCTATTCAAGTCATCCTATTTTTACAGCTAATTTCCAACCCCACTGTTCTGAAAGGCTCCAGGGTAGATAGATGTCATCAGCACTTGCAGGGGTTTCTGTGGTGACTCCTCTGATGGCACTGTCTAGGAGCAAAGGGTGCAGCTTTTCCTCTCCCAACAACACCCTAGAATATGCTACAAGAACGGGATGAGGAGCAGTGGGTGTAGACTTGTGTGGAGTCCTGGTTGGGTTCTGAGGAGGTAGTGGGTGTTGTCTGGCACTTCTGCCAAGTTTCTGAATCTCACAAGCCCATAGGGAAGCAAATGAGGAGAACTCTGCCAGCAGTTGTGTAGACAACGACCTGCTACCCAGGACCATTCTGTGTGTAATTTCCTCTCCCTGTTCATTGCTAGGGCAGGGAGGAGATGACCAACTGACCTCTATTCATTGTTGTGCAGTGAGGAGCTAAGGGTCTTGAGCTCTTGGTAAAAATATAGAGTGTAGCTCATAGACTTCCATTCTAAATTCATGGATGTAAGAGTTCAAGGGTCCTTGGGGGGGACTTCCAAGAGTATTTAGAGAAATCAAATTTCTCATACTGGAAATTATGAAACTTATGTGTGTTTTCTAACATTTGAAGTGTCATCAAAAATTGTTTCTCAGTTTTGTATTTCCCTCTCCATAAGCTTAACTAACATGACAATCTGGGCACTAATAGCTCATGCCTCCAATCCTAGCTATTCAGGAGGCTGAGATTTGAGGATTGTAGTTTTCAAAACCATCCCAGCAAGAAAGTCTGAGATTATTACTTCCAATTAACCAGCAAAAAGCCTGACATAGAGGTGTGGCTCAATTGGTAGAATACCAGACTCGAGCAAAAAAAAAAAAAAGAAGGCCGAGGGATAGTGCCTAGTACTGGCAGGAAAGTGTGTGTGTGTATGTTAAAGAGACAGAGAGAAATAGAGAGGAGGGAAGGAGGGAAAGAAAGAGAGAAAGAAAGGGAGATGGGAGGAAAGAAAAAGGGAAGGAAGGAAGAAAGAAAGGAAGGAAGGAAAGAAGGAAGGAAGGAAGGAA